ACATAAATTGATGAGGAGCCAGGTCGCCCTCCGTTTGTGCAGAGGCGATGAGACTATGGAACTGGTGCATCTCCCACAACGTCACACTGTCAGCAGCCTGCCTTCCAGACACACACATCTCCAGTTGCAAGTTCACCTACAACCATGAGTGGGAGCTAGATCCAGTAGTACTTCATGATCTATTCAGGTGATGGCGGACGCCGACCACAGACCTATTTGTCACTTACCTGAACAAGAAATGTCCACGCTACTGCTCCAGAGCAGGGATAGGACAACACTTTCTGGGCGATGCTCTTCTCCTCCTCTGGGATGGGGACCTTCTCTGTGCCTTTCCTTCCTTTCCCCTACTATCAAAAATCCTGCTGAAATAAAAAGAGATGGCATGATCAATCTGACGTGTGCTCCCACTTGGCCGAGACAGACCTGGCACCCTTACCTGTCACAGCTTGCGATGTGCCTGCCGATCCCTCTCCCATTCCTCCTCTCACAGAACGGTGGATGTACCCTACATCCCAATCTTTGGATTCTCTGGCTCAAGGCATGGCTCCTACTTGGTTCCAACACCAAGAAAGCTCCTGTTCAAAGGAGGTGTAAGAGGTATTACACAGTAAAAAGTCCTCAACGTGACGTACTTACCTGCAAAAGTGGTCCAGGTTTTGGATTTGGTGTACTTCCCAACAAATTTCCCTGATATCAGCAACTCTTCCACATATCTTAGATTATGCATTGATCCTAAAAAGATCAGGGCTCTCTGAGTCCACCCTGTGGCTGTAGCAGCCTTCCACCAACCAGTAGAGGGATACTCACTGCTGTTGCATCCAATTACTTCCTCAATTTCTTACTCCCATGTGGGACCTAAATCTGGTATTGAAAGGACTGACTAGGCCTCCCTTCATACCAATGGCCACCTGTTTGTTTGCATATCTCTCAGTGAAAACGGTCTTCCTGATAGCGATTACCTTGGCTAGGAGAAATAGCAGCTCTGATAGCACATCCACCCTACACTGTATTGTTTTGGGACAAGGTTACGTTCAGACCACACCTGAAATTCACTGCCATGGTAGCCTCCCCATTTCCCATGAATCAGTTGATTCACCTTCCAACCTTTTACTCCAAGCCTCACCGAAACAACAGGGAGACTATACGACACACTCTAGATGCCAGGAGAGCCCTAGTCTTCTACCTGGACAGGACGAAAGTTTTCAGGAAGTCCCCCTAGATTTTTTTTTTTTTTTCCTCTCCATTGCAGAAAGATCCAAGGACTCAGCAATATCAGCCCAAAGACTCTCCAAGTGGATTTCGAACTGCATCAGACAATGTTATCAAGTTCACTATTTAACCCTTTCAGATACTACTTGTACACACTCCACAAGGTCAATCTTCATCTCTCATTTTCTTCAAGAATGTCCCTATCTCAGAGATCTGTAGGGCAGCAACATGGGCATCAGTCCACACTTTCAGATAACATTATGCAATTTCTGGGAACTCCACCCCCAGTGCCATCTTCAACTCCACAGTACTGTCATCTGTAACTGACCTTACTCCGAAGTCTTATCCCTCCAGTGGGGATACTGCTTGGGAGTCACCTACAGTGGAGTACCCATAGGGACACTACTAGAAGAAATAGTACAGGGATCGGCAACCTTTGGCACGCAGCTCACCAGGGTAAGCAGCCTGGCGGGCTGGGCTGGTCTGTTTACCTGCCGCGTCTGCAGGTTCGGCCGATCGCGGCTCCCACTGGCCGCGGTTTGCTGCTCCAAGCCAATGGGGGCGGTAGGAAGCGGCTTGGGCCCAGGGATGTGCTAGCCGCTGCTTCCCGCTGCCCCCATTGGCCTGGAACGGCGAACCACGGCCAGTGGGAGCCGCGATCGGCCGAACCTGCGGACGCGGCAGGTAAACAAACTGGCCCGGCCCACCAGGGTGCTTACTCTGGCGAGCCGCGTGCCAAAGGGTTGCCGATCCCTGAAATAGTAGTTACTCACTTTGTGCCGTAACAATGGTTCATTTGAGATGTGTCCCCCTATGGGTGCTCCACAACCCACCCTACTCCCCTCTACTTGGAGTTCTTGTCAGTGACTCTGTGGTAGCGAAGGAACTGAGGGGGTTAACCCACACACGCTGACTAGCCTCGTGGTAGGGCATGAGAGGAGACCAGCATATGTGCGGGCCTAATGGACACTGCTGCCCAAGTTCTCCAATCTGCAGCGCATGGACGCAAGCACACCTACAGTGGAGTACCCATAGGGACACACATCTTGAAGAACCATTGTTACTGCACACAGTGAGTAACTTTGTCTTTTGACTCATGACTCAGCTTGAATCTCTGGTGTGGGAAGAATATCCAGACTAGTCTAATATGTATTTAGCACTGGCATTATTTGGTTTAGAGCATTGCTGTAGGAAATTTTAACTCTGGTTGATAAGGCGTACATAATCAACCTATCCCCAGTGCCTGAGAACATTGATCATTGCTTGCAGATATGACATCTGTTTACCGCTGGTCGGATGTGGAAACATTTCAGCATGCCATCTGTTAACTTACATCCCCTACCACTAGATGGAAATATCTGTAATGATCTCTCTCTTTCTGGACTATCCAGAGCGGGAGACCTGAGGACATGTAGAAGCAGACAGGAGTTCTGTGCTCTGCCATGGTTGTCATTTTGTCCCTTGCACTTCTTCTTCGAGTGATTGCTCATGTGTATTCCACAGTAGGTGTGCGTGCTCACCACGTGCACCGGTGCCAGAAGTTTTTCCCTTAGCAGTACCCGTAGTGAGGGAGCCCCGCTTGCGACCCCTGGAGTGGCGCCTCTATATCGCGCTATAAAGGGGGCTGCACACTCCCCCCACCCTCAGTTCCTTCTTGCCGCCAGTGAAGGTAGTTGGAACTTGTGCTCCAGCATTGCAGTAGCTTCTATCCTTGGCAGCCTTCCATAGGGATACGGTCCAGCTCTGCTCGCACCCAGCTTTTCTGCCGAAGGTAGTCTCGGCTTTTCACATAGATCAGGACATTTTCCTCCCGGTCCTCTGTCCAAAGCCCCATTCCTCCAATGAGGAACGGCGCCTGCACATGTTAGATGTGCGTAGAGCGCTGGCTTTTTACCTGTACAGAACCAGGCCATTTTGGAAATCCCCTCAGCTGGTTATTGCATCGGCCAAGCGCATGAGGGGGCGACCAGTTTCCACCCAGCGGATTTCCCACTGGATCACCTCGTGCATACGCACATGTTACGACCTGGCAGGGGTTCCCCTGCCTCCTATAGTAAAGGCTCATTCAACGAGAACTCAGGCCTCGTCGGCTGCCTACGTGGCTCATGTCCCTATTCAGGACATCTACAGGGCTGCTACATGGTCCTCTGTCCACACCTTTTCATCGCACTATGCGATCGTCTCCCAAACGCGGGATGACGCCAGGTTTGGTAGGGCGGTACTCCGCCCGGGCAACCCTTAAACTCCTATCCACCTCCATCAGGTATAGCTTGGAGTCACCTACTGTGGAATACACGTGAGCAATCGCTCGAAGAAGAAAGGACAGTTACCTGTTCCGTAACTGGCGTTCTTCGAGATGTGTTGCTCAGGTGTATTCCACATCCCGCCCTCCTTTCCCCTCTGTCGGAGTTGTCTGGCAAGAAGGAACTGAGGGTGAGGGGAGCGCGCAGCCCCCTTTTATGGTGCGATATAGAGGCGCCATTCCAGGGGTTGCAGCGGGGCTCCCCCACTACCGGTACTGCTAAGGGAAAAATTTCCGGCACCGGTGCACGTGGCGAGCACGCACACCTACTGTGGAATACACCTGAGCATCACAACTCGAAGAACGCCAGTTACGGAACAGGTAACTGTTCTTGCTTTCGCTGCCCAGGGTTAAAAATAGCCTTATGAGGCATATTATAACTTGGTGGTTTTTCTTTAAATAATTTTTTTGGACTCGTGCACATCTAACATGGGCAAAGCTAATAGTTTAATGGAAATGAGCCATTCAGTTAATAAAGCGAGCTCTTTAAGTGCTATTTTTAATTAAAACTTTATTCAGTGGGAATGGTCTGTTGGCTGATAAAAGGATGGCTTAGTCCCAAATGATTTTGTTACAGTGAAATGTTCTCTCTCTAAAAGCCCCACTTCAGTAATATTGTGGAAGCTGGATGGCGTGAATACCTTTCCATTTATTATGCTTAATAAATCAAGTCATTTAAGCAGTATATTCAGATGCTATTTTTCTTTCCGTTCCCCACCTGAGTCTCTTCTGAATCTGCTAGATGGAAAAAGCTCTTTCCTGTCTCTCGGTGGTTTGGAGGGAAGTTAACATATGGAAATGTTCCATCCTAATTGAAACTGAAAACTGTCTCATGACAAACTGTTGAACCAGCTGTGCTCGTCTCCTATCTGCCAGAAAGGCAAGTTCCCTTTATATGTGCAATAGGCTCCATCAGTGCACACAAGTGCCAAGGAAAAGACTGGAGCAAAAACATGTCTTAATTTTTTTCCCCTGGTACGTGATCCCTCAAATCTTGCCCTAGCAATTCACTGTAACAAGGTGGAGCTAAGAAGGTGCCAGATCACAACTAAGGATCTGAAAACAAAAGATAGGGAAGGATGGGGAATGAAGTGTTCAAACTAAGGCAAAAATACTTCAAAGAACAATTGGAACAGAACAGACAAAAGGTCAGTGTAACTAAAATTAATTATGTTGTATTAGAAACATTAATAAAAGAACTGTCTCCGGTCTTAATATTTCCACCAAGAAGCCTTGACAGTTAAAATATTTCCAAAAGGAGATTAAACTAACATTTGTTAACTATTCAGGCCCAATACTTGAAATCTACCTAAATATTATCTGTGGGGAGGATTTCCCTGTAAGTTCTACATACAGTACATATGTAGTAAACCTCTTCTAAAGCAGCTCTTTAGCTGGGTCCTTCACAGAAGCTGACTGTATAGAACAGTGAGGTCAGGGCTTGTGGCTGGATAAAGATACTGACGCACCCTTACTTAACTTCCCACAGTGCATCTACTGAAGAGAACCCTGCAGAAATGTGAGAAGAATGGCTGGATGGAGCAGATCTCTGGGAAGGGTTTCAGTGGCACCTTCCAGCTCTGCTTCCCTTATTACCCCAGGTAAAGAGCCCTCCGTTGACAGGTGGTCATGCAGAGCATTTCACAAACCATTAGCCCAGCCGTGTTGTTTAACATGTTGATGTTGATGTTCACAGGACCAATTTTTTTACCTTGGAAGATTTTTTTTTTTTTTTTTAATAGGGTTTAACAACCTTGATTATGCCCAACATTGTATAACCTGTATCATTCTAGGTCAGGGGTCTCAAACATGCGGCCCGGGGGCCGCATGCGGCCCGCGGAGCTCTTCCCTGCGGCCTGCCCCCCCCAGTTACTTCCAGTCACAGCCAAACTCCCCTCACCCCCCTCCCGAGTTATTTTATGTGGCAGCTAAGCTCCCTGCTCGCTGCTCCCCAATGTTTGGGGCTGGGTCTCTCCCCCGGCCCCGCCTGCTGCCCCCACGCACCTCCCCCGAGTGTCCCCCGGCCTCACCTCTGCACCCCCTCCTAACCCCAAACTCCATTCCAGAGCCTGCACCCCCACCCCCTGCCCCAGCCCGGAGCCTTCACCCAGCACCCAAACTCCATCCCAGAGCCTGCACCCCAGATCCCCACCCCCACCCAAACTCCCCCACCTGCCTAAGGCTCTGGGAGGGCAGAGTTTGGGGGGGCAGGTTCTGGGCACCACCAAAATTTCTACAAACCTGCCACCCCTGGAAGAGGCAGAGCAGTGGTGGAGTGGTGGTGCAGCCCAGTGCAGTGGGGGGGCTTTAACAGAAGTAAATCTAACTAAGTGCATGTTTTGTCCTTTGAGTGAGGTGCATTACTGAGTGTATATATTTTATTAAAACCGCTTGGAAATGACTTGTTGTAGGAGTAGCAGTGATCTGTATGCTCTGTATAATGCTTAGCACTTTCCAGGAGGGAGGGGGGAGGAGCATGCTCAGGGGAGGGGGAGAAGAGACGGGGCAGGGGCGGGACCACATGGAAGGGGTGGAGTGGGGGGTGGAGCCGGGGCCAGCGAAGGGGGGTGTCAGTGATGCGGCCCTCGGGCCAATGCACTAGTCCTCATGAGGCCCTTGTGGTCATTTGAGTTTGAGACCCCTGTTCTAGGTTCTGATGATAACAAATCTGATTAAACATTACGATGGCTTTACCAACCAGGAAACTCTTAAGGAACATATAAAATACTAGGTCTAGTAGTCTCAGATATTCTGTCCTTTTATCTTCTGTAGTACCCATCATTGTATTATTTAAGTGCTTCCAAGATAAAGCAAATCTGCATGGCCCTCAGAGTTTCCTTGCTTCTTAACACAAGAATGATCATAAAGAAAAATATCCTGGGTCTAACTATCCCACTATCTGTAATACCATATATGGGGGAAGATTAAAGCTAGCCTCTTCTCTTTATGGAGGGGAGAGAACAAGTCTCAACTCCACCATTTTAATTTCTTCACATTCCTACCTTTAGCTGAGCCCCATGGAGCCACATGGTGACTATCTTGAGAGCCTCTTCTGCGGAGCAGTGTGGCAGGGTGACCTCTCAAAGGCTCTACTCTCAAGCATGAATCATCCCATTAATCTTCAAGTCCATCCTGGCTTCAGCACAGCTGCCTGGGATCATAGAATCATAGAAGATTAGAGTTGGACGAGATCTCAGGAGGTCATCTAATCCAACCCCCTGCTCAAAGCAGGACCACCCCCAACTAAATCATCCTAGCCAGGGCTTTGTCAGGCCGGGCCTTAAAAACCTCTAAGGAAGGAGATTTCACTACCTCCCTAGGTAATCTATTCCAGTGATTCACCACCCTCTTAGTGAAATAGTGTTTTCTAATATCCAGCCTAAACCTCCCCCACTGCAACTTGAAATCATTGCTCCTTGTTCTGACGTCTGCCACCACTGAAAACAGCCTAGCTCCATCCTCTTTGGAACTCCCCTTCAGGTAGTTGAAGGCTACTATCAAATCTCCGCTCACACTTCTGCAGACTAAATAAGCCCAGTTCCCTCAGCCTCTCCTCATAAGACATGTGCCCCAGCCCCCTAATCATTTTTGTTTCCCTCCACTGGACTCTCTTCAATTTGTCCACATCCTTTCTATAGTGGAGGGCCCAAAACTGGCCCCCCACTACAGAATAGTGGCAATACTCCAGATGTGGCCTCACCAGTGCCAAATAGAGGGGAATAATCACTTCCCTCGATCTGCTGGCAATGCTCCTACTAATGCAGCCTAATATGCCTTTAGCCTTCTTGGCAACAAGGGCACACTGCTGACTCATATCCAGCTTCTCGTCCACTGTAATCCCCAGGTCCTTTTCTGCAGAACTGCCACTTAGCCAGTCAGTCCCCAGCCTGTAGCAGTGCATGGGATTCTTCCGTCCTAAGTGCGGGACTCATCAGAACCTCATCAGATTTCTTTTGACCCAATCCTCCAATTTGTCTAGGCCCCTCTGGACCCTATCTCTACCCTCCAGCGTATCTACCTCTCCCCCCAGCTTAGTGTCATCCACAAACTTGCTGAGGGTGCAATTCATCTCATCATCCAAATCATTAATGAAGATGTTGAACAAAACCGGCCCCAGGACCGACTCCTGGGGCACTCCACTTGATACTGGCTGCCAACTAGACATGGAGCCATTGATCACTACCTGTTGAGCCCAACAATCTAGCCAGCTTTCTATCCACCTTATAGTCCATTCATCCAATCCATACTACTTTTGCTGGCAAGAATACTGTGGGAGATCATATCAAAAGCTTTGCTAAAGTTAAGGTAAATCACATCCACCGCTTTCCCCATATCCACAAAGCCAGTTATCTCATCATAGAAGGCATCAGGTTGGTCAGGCATGACTTGCCCTTGGTGAATCCTTATTGACTGTTCCTGATTACCTTTCTCTCCTCCTTCAGAATGGATTCCTTAAGGACCTGCTCCATGATCAGTGAGAACCTGGACTTAAACTGCCATCCCCCTGCTATGTCTGCAATGGGAGGGAGCAATGTGTAAGAGAGCTTGAGGCAGGACTGCTTAGGGGAGAGGTGGGGCTGTGGCAGGTCCATTAATTTGCAGCCAGCTTGACTTCATCCACCTTGGCCCTTCCCTAGCAGCACCTCATTGATTTCTACAATATTTAGCAGCATGCATGGAAATCAGCATCGTGTGGAAGCTCAAATTAGCTAGGTTTTACTGTAACAAAATGGGCAACTAGCCCTGGCAATGCGGGGTCAATCAGTGGCTCCCTTTCAGCCATCTGACACTGAACTTGGTATCCTTTGACACGAGTTAACAAGATTACTCTTGCAGCCCAGGTGTGCTGTTCCCAGAGAAGCAGCAGGAGGAGGATTCTGAGGAATCTGAGGAGGAGGAAGAGGAGGCAGAAGAGGAATCTGAGGAGGAAGAAGAGTCAGAGGAAGAAGAACCACCTCCAAAGAAAAGGTATAGAGCTGAAAACAAATGGGCTTGTAAGCCTGCATGGCCATCCCTACTGGTCCGTCTCTGAGGGAGGCCATGCCTCCTCGCTGTCACGCACCTGTAAAGGTGATCTCAAAAAGGGGGAATTACCTTGTATCTAGTATTCAGGCCCTCAGGCCAGGCAGAGCGGTAAGGCAGTCTGAGCCCCGGACCCTCAGTCAGGGCAGGGCAGCAAAGCAATCTAGGGCTCAGTGGACGGTAGACCAACACAGGCCTTCTGGCTTACGGTGGGGAGACTTCCTCCCCAGGGGTAGGGTGGCAGGGGATGTTGGCCCAACCAACTCCTCCACATCCCAGCATAGGGCCCTAACAGTGGTCCGCCTGCAACACTCTGAACTAGGATCAGGCCAACACTTAACCAGATGGTCATCTAGTTCCCCTGGGCTACTTCCTACATCCCTGGGGTTTGGTACCTCTGTAACGTGGGGATCCTTTGTCTCCTTGGGGAGCTCTGGCCAGTCCTCAGGTAGCAGCCCCAGCAGCTCCTTGGTGTCTCGGTTGGCCGGCGGCCCTGGAAACTCTGGCCAGTCCTCAGGCGGCAGCCCCCACAGCTACTCAGCATCTTGGTCAGCTAGCAGCCCTGGGAGATCTGGCCAGTCCCCAGCACGGTGGGGTTCCTCTGCAGGTACCAGCAGCAGGGGATGCATCTGTCTCCCTTGGCGGCTCCAGCCCAACTGAGCTGAAGGGCCTACCTTTTGTACTTCCGCTTCCTGTCCTGCCCCTCAGCTTCTGGTGGAGCAGGCATGGCTTTCCTGGTTCTGCACACCAGGGGGCATGTTGTGGTCCCTCCCTGTCAATCTCTGAGGGAAGCCAAACCTCCTTGCTACAGGACTCCTCCAGTATGACATACTAAAAAGTATGACTGACCTGCAGTTACAGGCTTCATGGGAATCCTGCCTCTTCAGCAGCAGGCTCCAGCAAAACATCATAGTGCAGGGGCGACTCAAACATTGGATCGTCCATGAAGGAACTGAGGTCATGATTAACCAGAGTTTGGGGCAATTAATTGGCCTTTGTCATGGCTGTGGTAAAGTTCTTTAGGACTAGGGCTAGCTGCTGAGAATTGATTAGTCAATCTTTGGCAGTGGATAATTATCCACAGATAGCCATTACTGCTGCAGAGAGGCCCAGGACTGGAATAGCAGGGAATGATGCAGGCATTTGCAAGGTGATGTATGTTTTTTTTGTGATTGGAGGCTTTGGACACTGTTGGAATCAGGACTCTATCATGGTAGGTGCTGTACACACGTGATCACCTGGACTGACTCCAGTGATAGTGTTTTTTACTCAATTTCATAAAAGCTGAGAGGGGCCTGTTATTCTTTGTATCATATTTAGTGTCCATTTCCTTTTTCCATTTAGCTTTTCCATGTTTCTTTTATGCTTTAGGAAAGGTTGTGGTCTCACTTTAAAAGCTGGAGACTTTTTAATGATATCTGATAAACACAGGATAAGTTTACTTTGCTCTCTTCTGGCTGGTGTATTTACTGTTCTAAAGCCAAATGAAACTGTTTTTGCTCCAAATATACATTTACGCTGAGTGGCTATATTAGTAACAAACCCAACACAAAGGAAAGCTCTTGGATGCTTGGGTTGCGTGACTTATACTCCTGAATGACAGGCAGTATTCATAGGGTTATATGCTAACAAAGGAGATACAAACTTAGATCACCCTGGGGACTGTTAAGAGCTTTACACTGTGATCTTGCTTAAAAGATTTTCTTACTCTTGGGGTCTGGCTACTCAAATTGAGGTGTATCATTGCATGCTGGGTCCTCCACGGTAAAGATGAAGGAGGCTGAAATCTGCTCCATTTTATATCAATTAACCCTTGGGCTCTAGGCAAGTTTTGGTGCCTTGGTACTAAATTCTCTTGTCCTTCCTGACAGGATGCAGATGCGATCCCCCCCAAAATCCCGGAGCAGGGCCCCCCCTGTGAAACGAAGAGAGTCCAAACCCAAGCCAAGAAAGGCCCCTGCAGCCCGCCGGGGGAAAGCAAAGCCCCCATCCAAGGTCAAAACCCCTGCCAAGAAAGCCAGACCAGCAGCCCCATCCATCAAGAGGCCCTCTGGTAGCAGCTCTTCCAAGAAACCAGCAGCGAGCGGGAGGAAGGAAGCAAAATCCCCTGCCAAGGGCAAATCCACCATGAGGAAGTCTCTCCGGGCAAAAAAGTAAACTTTTCCAATGTGTCAGGGAATCCCATGGTCAAATCCACAATCTTGTTTTATAACGTCAACATGCATTTGTATTTTAGTTCTAATGCTTAAACACTTCTTAATTTTTTTTTTCTTGAATGATGGGGAAAAGCTGAAAACTAAGTCAAACCAACCTGAGTTAGATCTAGATGCCCTGTGCCTGCCCTCCCCCCGGAACAAGTCATCTTTAGTTTTTGCAATAATTTTAGGGCTTTTCTAGAGAGTGTAATCTGTACATTTTATGGTGTTTGTTTGGGGTTTTTGCTTTTAAAACTTGTTCAAAGAAGATTTTTATATCTTTACAGAGCAGGAACAGGATCATTGGGGAAATGTAACTCTGAAGTGAAAAGGCAAAACTGCAGTAGTTTTCTCCTTAGATTTGCTGCATGGTAACTAACACAAAGGGTTCCTAATGCTTCTATGGAGAAGCAAAATATATACAATGCTCGCACTGAATTCTGAAGGTGCTTCTCTCTGCCACCGTTGTAGTGATTAGCTAAAAGATGTTTTGTTTGGCCGCTTCAGACCAGTAAGTTCCCCTTGAAAATGAGTCGGATCTCAGAGTGAATGCAAAACGTTCTGACCCGTCTGATGTCAAAGGGGTCCCAGAATGGGCAATCTCCTGATTTTCAGTTAGTCGGGTTGTCGTGATTTGAGTAAGCGATTCCACACATCCTCCATCTGTTACCTAATACCAAAATATATACAAGTAGTCTTGAATTCAACTTTGAAATGTTTTTTAAAAGATAAAGAACCTGAGTTTTCACTTCTTGTTTGCGCTTTTTAAAAAAACAACAAACGGAGAGTTCTATAACTCCTAATGTAGAGATGTTGATAAGTGATGAACATGCAGTTTGCTAAAATAAAATGAAACTAAATTCCAGCCCTGTCTTGCGTGCTGCTTCCTCTCTAAAGCTTTCTCAGGTTCTTTAGGTGACATCTAGGAGAGTGGGGTTACCATAGGGATCAATGTGAAGGCCCATTTTATTTAACCATTTTGTTAAAGGGATACCATCAGCTTGAAATCTGGTCCTTGTTAATGAGTTTTGGATATCTTTCCCCCATACACCCCCTTCCCAAGTCCCCTACCAAACTCCATAATTTTACACTCACTCTTTAAAACACTCTTCTCCTCCTCCTTCTCTGTGAAGACCAGTGTGAATTGAGGAAATTGGTATAGTCAGTTTCCCCTGTATAGTCCGTGTTGAGGTTTGCGATGGTCCTTAGTTCCTGCGGGAGTTCATTTCACTCATCACCTTCCACTCCAAATGCATGGTGCATTTTCTTCCATCCGCCTTCTCTAACATAAACTCTGAACATACACAGCATGTACATTTGAAAAACTAAAATTCTTATCAAAACACTGCACACACAATCCTCTCCTGGAATGAGGATGAGAAAATGAATGAACCTCACATGACAGATTCATAGGAAGGCGCTTGAGTGTATGATGGTGTTCAGGGTGGTATAAAACCTGAGAATAATACAAAATAAACTGAAAAAAGTGATATTTTCCTCCATTCCTTTACAAGTAACCAAAGGTAACCACAAGCAACAATAGTGGGTTTAAAAAATAGACAAAATTGACTTACGTTGTCAGTGTCCCTTTAATTGTTAGAAAGAGGCTGTAAACAGCAGGTTAATGAAATTCAGATGATACTAAACTGGGAGAAGTTGAAACTATCTGTGAAAACCAAAACAATCTACAGGTGCATAGAACAATTAAATCATGGTTAGTAAATTATAAAGGAGGGGCAGGGGAGTAGAAACTACTGCATCTGGGGACAAAGGCCAAAAGGCAGAAACTCAGTGGGAGGGAGAAACTAAAGAAGCTTAATGCTAAGAACAGCATTTAGAGGTGTGTGCATTGCTTGAAAGGGAACTGGAGGTTTTGAGAGAGGTGAAGGAACTCTTCAGGCAGATATTCACATCTGTGTTACTGCTTGAAGTAGTTACTCAGATTCTGTGCCTGCATTACCCTCTGATGGGGGAAAAGATGTGGGGAGGTAGCCTACCCACTGTCAATACTGCTTCTGCAGGAAAGGGGGACAAAAGGAAAGTACAGTCGATCCCACTGCCTCCTCCCAACCAGTTGCTGGGCCTCAGTCTCCCTTGGCTTTCTCCGTGGGATGGTACAACTTGACTACTGGCGAAGTTTTTATATCCTTGCTCTCGTTCATATATGTTGCAGACACTGAGCTGTGCCATCACTAAACGAATCTAGTAGAAGTCTGCTGATAATGGAGACCACCTCTGTTTACACACTGATAATTTGTAATGATCCTTGCCAGGAAAGGAAAGACCCAAAACAGTGTGTGTCCCATATATTTCATTTCAAATTTTACCTACTGCTGACTTGACTTAACCTTTTGAGCCATGTCCCAAGGAGATGGCAAAGTGATGTTAATGACACACAATTAGAACATAATATGGGATACCTTGTAAAATAGCAGAAAGCAGTTGGCCTTTACCTTCCATCACTGCATCAGTGTAAAAAATGAAAACATTCTCTAAAACTCAGATCATGTTAGTGTAGGTTTTAATGGAACAGGAATGTTATTCCATCTGTGGGGCTGCAGACAAAAATCTTGCTGCTCTGAGGAATAACTTCCTCGCAATAACTTCCCCACACTAACAGCCCTGCAGGTAATATAAGATCCATATACACCAACATAGCTGAATAAAGAGAAAGGGTGAAGAATGTAGCCTGTCACAGATAGGTGTGCCAAAGTTTGCTGCTGCTCAGAGAAGAGGGCTAGGCATGCTAGCCTTAAAAACAGCCAGAGTCAAACTAAGGCCATTTCAGTCTATAGTGCTGAGAAGTGAATGCAACATGCTCGTGCCAGGGATTTGAGCTGGGACTGTGATTCTCATGTGAATCTCTTACCACAATGCTATAGAATATTTTGATGTGGGGCTCCTGCAATCTTTCCTATTGAAGTTGTGCCACTTTAATTAAACAATAGAATATTGGGCTAGAGAAAGCATTAGGATGAGACACTACCCTGGTGGTTAGGGCACTCATTTGGGAGGTGGCAGATCCCTGTTCAAATCCCTTCTCCCAATCCGGGGGAGGACTTGAATGGAGGGTCTCCCACATCCTGGGGTGAGTACCCTGGCCACTAGGCTAAAGATGTAAGGGAGCTTCTCTGCCCTTGGCTGTTTAGTGTGAACTCACCTGAGGACCTGATCCTGTAGGTGTGCTCAGAGGCTGCCTTCCAGATCAGTCCTCTTGGGCAGCTGGATGCCTGTCTTTCCCAGTTTGTGAATCACTCTGGGGCTTATTTGGACACCTAGCTCTTACCTACCTAGAAGGAGGTAGCACTGCCCGTGCTCAGAGGAAAAAACAGATGCTAAGTGAGTTTAGGGACCTACAGGGTTTGGCACCAGTTGAGTGGGTACGTTGTGGATTGCAACAGTTCCTAAAAAGGGGACACAGGTGCTTATATACCTTCATGGATCCCACCTCCCAAACTACTGGGAAAAGCATGGAGCAAGCCATACACTCAGCCGCAAGTTCATTCACTCTGTGACAATTTGCCAAAAACAGAAAATGGGACTTAGCTAAAATTTTCCATCCATGGAAGGTTAAAATATGCATATTCTACTGCACTGTAGTAGACATTCAGGGCTAGTCTACACTACCTGCCTGGATCGGCGGGTAGAAATCAATCTCTCGGGGATCGATTTATCGCGTCTCATCTAGACGGATAAATCGATCCCCGAATCGACGCGCGTACTTCCACCTCGTCAGGAGGAGTAAGCGCTGTCGATGGGGGAGCCGCGGCGGTCGATTTGCCGCTGTCCTTACAGCGGGGTAAGTCGAATAGGATACGTCAAATTCAGCTGTGCTATTTGGGTAGCTGAATTTACGTATCTTAAATCGATTTCCCCCCCCCCCCAGTGTAGACCTAGCCTCAGACCAGGTCCAACAGAATTTGAGTCACTGCTTCATAAAACCTATTTGACTGAGCCTGGTATGCTGTGGTTATGACTGATATTGACTACATCCTCTAAATAACTGACTCCAAAGCTGCTATTTTGTTGGTAAGTATTTGTATAGGCTATTCACTTGGCTAGACAGTCTTTCAAGAACACATCAGTGCTAGCCTTTGCTGATAGCTGCTAGAGTGAAAAGTTCAGGTTTGTTTTGTGAGAGCATATGAGCATCTGTGATTACCATTTCTGGTATGTTATTTTTAGCCTGTGTTGAGATGGACTGTGTTTTATGTGCTATGGGGATTGTTTGTAAAGAAATTAGTCTTCTGTCTCAAAACACAGACTCCTAGGATCTTCATGCCATTTCTGTGTATTGTGACAGACCCAGACCAGTGGGGTACAGGAGTCTGATAGAGGGCAAATATACTGGTCACTGGATGAGTAGTTTTCTGTTCCCTGAGTAACCAGAGCAGGGGCTGCACTAGAGAAATCAGGAACCTGCTAGAACCAGTTAAGGCAGGCAGGCTAATTAGGACACCTGGAGCCAATTAAGAAGAAGCTGCTAGAACCAGTTAAGGCAGGCAGGCTAATCAGGGCACCTGGGTTTTAAAAAGGAGCTCACTTCAGTTTGTGGTGCGAGTGTGAGGAGCTGGGAGCAAGAGGCGCAAGGAGCTGAGAGTGAGAGGGTGTGCTGCTGGAGGACTGAGGAGCACAAGCGTTATCAGACACCAGGAGGAAGGTCCTGTGGTGAGAATAAGGAAGGTGTTTGGAGGAGGCCCTGGGGAAGTAGCCCAGGGAGTTGTAGCTGTCATGCAGCTGTTACAGGAGGCACTAGAGACAGCTGCAGTCCACAGGGCCCTGGGCTGGAACCCGGAGTAGAGGGCGGGCCCGGGTTCCCCCCAAACCTCCCAATTGACCAGAGGCCTGATCTGAGGCAGGACCTGCTCACAGAATCTGGCAAGAACAGGGCTGATATTGCAGAAATACACATGCCTAAGAAGTGCTAGTCACAGAGTACTCAGCAAACACACCCTGATATCAAGTGGTACCAGAACATCCTGATATCAAGGATGGTACAAAAACATTGCCGAAGGATAATAGGAACACTGAACCCTCCTAAAAGATAAGGTCAGGATGGCAGTACCTAACGGATGTTTTGATTGAACCAACATATACAAGATGATGAGTAGCGACGTTGGGGGGCAGTAACTATGTCAGAGGGACAGTACTAACTTGTTGGTACCAGGGTATAAAGATGTATCTCAGAGGGAGTATCTTTGTCCAGCTGAGGGGGGAATGGAAAGTCCCGCCATTCACTGAGCTGCGTCCATTATCACAGGCAGACATGTCTTAGTATCCTCGTAGAGTCTGACAGTGCTATTACTGTGCTTTGTTGACAATAAACCTGGCCCAGTGCCTTCGTACCTTAACAGAGCTTGTGGTAATTGGGCAGTTCGCTCAAAGTTTGCTGTGCCAGCTGTCTGCATAGAGATTGAGGCAGCACACAGGGTGAACACACACATGCAGCCGAACAGCTAACCACATTTACCAGAAGCCAAAGGTCTTCGTCTCAGAGGGGCTATCGCAGCTGGTCACGGCACAAACGTTGACATTGTTCCCATTCGTCATCCTGCTCCAGGACCCCCCCGCACCACTGCCTCCGCAGCCCGGGCATTGATCACTGGCGTCTCACCGTCGCGGGTCCGCCCACCGGAACCAATTGCAGAGCAGCTGTTGCTACCGGTCCTCCATGTTGGGATCGCAGTCCCATGGTCAGCATCGCTCCCGGTGCCGCTGCTCCTCCCGGTCCAGAAACAGCGGCAGGTCACATGTCAACCCGGCCTCCCTTCAGGCCAGCTAGGCCGAACAGTTGGCTCCACCGGTGCCACAGCAGGTGCAGTGGCGCCGGCCCAGTGGTACCAGTGGGCACCGTGGCCCCTGACG